ATCCACAGGAATAGATAAGAGAAGATGAAAGAAAAGTGGTGATAAAAATGTCAAATAAGAACCTTTAAAAAATCAAGAACTCAAGAAACTATAATTTAATTTGTGTATGATCTTGGGAAAAGCAGGAGTGTGATATCAATAGAGAGCATGAAAGAAGGTGTGTGGTATCGATGGAAAGCAGGATGATAGAAATACTTTGAAATGTAGATTGGCACGGTGTGAGGGATAAGTGTGTAAGCAAATTTGCCTGAGAGAGGAGTTTACAACAATTCCAATTAAATGCAATAATAAAAAGTATAGGTTGATTTATTATCATTGGGATAATCTGGAGGATTAGAAAAGCAGAGTAGAACATCTGAATTAGCAAGGAGGGAGTAGAAATGAACAACAATTTGACCAAGCCAGAAAAGATAAGAAAAGGTTTAAAGATGAAATAAGAATGACATTCATACAATAAATAGGAAACGTAAGACCAACTATAACTTTGGTACATTAAGTATGGACAGGTTGAATTTTCCCATCAAAAGGCCTAGAAAACTTGATTATGTTTAAACACAAAACCAAGTATTGTTAGGAAACGCATACAAGGTGGTTCCAAAAGGTAAAACAACTAAAAATGGCACCTAAATATTAAAAGATTTAAAATACTTAGCAGAATGTGCTAAAAATTAAGGAATAGTCTAAAGGGCAAATGATGTGAGTGCAAAATGCCCAATGGTCACTTAAGCCAGTGGCTGCCATGAGGGCATTTGCATATCCTTGTCACCTAGAACTTGTTTCAGGACTGGAGAAAAGTCTATGTGCAGTGAACTGTCAGAGCAGAGAACCTCATGTAACATCAGGGCACAATGAGAGTAGGAAGTAATCTGGAAAACTTCTGTCTTGACCTTGACCCCACGTGGGTGGAAAAGGAGTAAGCTTTACTGAAAATGTGGAGGCAGAATCCTGCCCTCATATGGGATTGGTGGTCCAAGTCACATTACTTTTAGGGTCTGAGAAACATCAGCTACAAAACTGATTTAAAGGGGGTACCAAATATGTAAGATAACCCTTGAACCTTGACAGAACCGATCCTTTCTGGAAAAATGTACTTTAAACACAGTTCTTGAAAATCTAGAGGAAAATGATGATTTCTTGGAAAAGGGTCAAATTGATAGACAAGATATGAAACATGATCAGAAGAACCCTGGAAAGTTTCAATCTACCATTACAAAAAGGAATGGACCCACTGGTTTTCCTGCTGCACTTTACCAACTTTTAAAGATGAAATATTCCTTGTTTTATTTAAGCAATTCCAGATCAGACAATGGAAAACTCTGTACATTTGATAAAACTAGCATAAGCTTAACGAAACCTGACATGATAGTGTGAGTAAAATTATAGGCCAATTTCATATATGAAAGTAACTACAAAAATTATAAAGAAAATATCCTATATAATAAAAGCCTAATATGCTAAGTGTCCAACCAGTCTCTATGATGCACACTGACCACCAGGGGGCAGATGCTCCGACCGGTAGGTTAGCTTGCTGCTGGGGTTCAGCCGATCGGGACTGGGTGAGATGGGCCAGACACGCCCTGGAGCCCTCCCTCGGTCCCTCCCCAGCCCCAATCGTGCACTGGTGGAGTCCCTCAGCCTGGCCTGTGCCCTCTCGCAATCCGGGACCCCTTGGGGGATGTCGGAGTGCCAGTTTCGGCCCGATCCCCGCAGGCCAGGCCAAGGGACCCTAGTGGTGCACGAATTCATGCACTGGGCCTCTAGTTCAGTGATGGCGAACCTTTTGAGCTCGGTGTGTCAGCATTTTGAAAAACCCTAACTTAACTCTGGTGC